TCACAGCTGATCTTCCTGAGTCAAGTCAATTCACAACTGATCTTCACGAGTCAAGTCAAGTCACAGGTGATCGTCATGAGTCAAGTCAAGTCACAACTGATCTTCATGAGTCAAGTCAAGTCTCAGCTGATCTGCCAGGGCCTCGTCACATCTCAGATGTTCATCCAGAGCCTCGTCACGTCTCAGCTGTTCGTCCAGAGTAACGTTACGTCACAGCTGATCTTCTAGAGTCACGCCATGTTTCAGCTGTTCGTCCAGAGTCATGTCGCATCACAGCTGATCATCCAGAGTCATGTCACGTCCTGTCTGTTACACACAGAATATCAAGGTCAGCCCTTCGGTATCCCAGACTGGATTCCAACGTGGAGGACCCACCGCTGGCATCGGCACGTGCAGCAGGCATCCCTAAACCAGTGCTCTCAAGCCCTCCAGTTTCTGAACTATTTCCCCTGTCTGTAGCGCTTCCCACAATGGGGATCGCTTTATGGTGTATTTGGGCTGCATACACCACCACTGAAAATTTAGAAATGGTGGCGCGACTGTGCGGTTTCCCGAAGTGGTGGCTGATGCTGAAGATTTTCCCGAGGTAGTGGTGCATGCTGCCATGTTCCCCGAGGCGATGGCGCCCACTTCACCTACTCCAGAGGTGGCGGCCCACGCTGCAGAACCTCTCGAGGCGGCAGTGCTCGCTTCAGCTTCTTGCGCGGTGGTGGCGCCCAGCAATACACGTTCAGCCTGTCATGTCACGGTCGAAGGAACTGTTGCTGAACTCTGTGCCTGTTTTGATAAGGAGAATATTCATGAACTTTCCCTGTTTCCTGATGGTACGGCAGAACCTCTAGAGATGGCGGCATCCGCTGCAGAACCTCCAGAGGTGTCAGTGGCATCCACTTATAGACTCTCGTCCTGTTCTGTTCCGGCCAGGGAGGCCATCCGGGACCCCTCTGCCTGTCCTGTAACGGCTATGGAGGCCGTCTGTGAATTCTCTGCCTGTCCTGTAACTGCTATGGAGGCCATCTGTGAACTCTCTGCCTGTCCTGTAACGGCTATGGAGGCCGTCTGTAAACTCTCTGCCAGTTCTGTTCCGGCCAAGTAGGCCGTCTGTGAACTCTCTGCCTGTCCTGTTCTGGCCAAGGAGGCCGCCTATAAACTTTTTTCCTGTCCTGAACCAGCCGAGGAGGCTATCTCGGAACTCTCGACTTGTTCTAAACCCATCATGAAGGCCAATTATAGACTTTTGTCCTGTTCCGATCCAGCCGAGGAGGCTGTCTATGAACTCTCAGCCCTGTCTGTCACAGCCAAGGATGCTGTCTGTGAATTTCCTGACTGTTCTGTTGCGGCTGCAAGAGCCATTCTGGAACTCTCAAACCAGCCTGTTGCGACTGAGGCCTTAAATGTACTTTTTCCCTGCCTAGTTAACCCTGTAATGGCCATAGGGGCCGTTAACGAACCTTCTGTCTACCCTGCTAGCCAAGTCAAGCCCAGAGGCCACTAATAAATTTTCTGTCTGTCTAAATAACGCTAATGATCCTGATTTTGAACTTTCTGTCAGTCCTGTTTTAGTCTGTAAGTCTAATGTTGAGCCATTTGTCTGTCCACTTTCAAGTAATGTGTTTGACGTTTCTGTCAGTCCCATTGCAATCAATGAACCTGTTATCTGCCCCCCAAGTTCAGTCACGACCCCAGAAACCTTAACTAAGCTCCCTGAAGGCTCAAGTAACCTTGTCATAACCCAAAGATCCGCCTTCGACTGGCTGACGATCTGAATGTGTTTTACAGCAGATTTGAAAAGGATCGTCTACCACCCCCCATCTGCTCTGATCTGCACTTCACACCTTCACCTACCACCCCTGCAACCCCCCTCCCTCCCCCACCATTCAACCTGTGTTTAAGGTCTGTGTAGAGGATGTGAACTGGGTCTTCAGGAAGCAGAAATCTAGAAAAGCTTCAGGACCAGATGGTGTTTCACCTGCCTGTTTAAAAGTCTGCGCTGACCAACTGGCCCCCATCTTCACACATATCTTCAACAGATCATTGGAGCTGTGTGAAGTTCCCTGCTGCTTTATCCGCCTTTGACCTTTTAACTCTGTCTGTCATGAGCCCAGAAACTACAAAAACACTCCATGTCTGTTCCATTACCCCTGTCATTTCCCAAGAGACCACTAATGAACTGTCTATCTATCCTGTTTCAGTCAAGATTTCTAATTTTGAGCCATATGTCTGTCCTGTTTCGACCAATGAGACTGATTTTGAATGGTCTGCCTGTCCAGTCTCAGTCAGTGAACCTGTTTGTGAACTGTCTGCTTGTCCAGTTTCAGTCCATGAGCCGGTTTATGAACTGTTTTCTTGTCTAGTTTCAGTCAATGAACCAGATTTTGAACTGTCTACCCATTCAGTGGTCACCAGGGAGACTATAGATTAACTTTTTGTGTTCCCTGCCTCTGTCCTTGAGACCGTGAATGCACTGTCTGTTTCCTGTTTTTCAAGTTTACCCAGGTCCCAGTTCCTGCCTTGGGTTCCTGCTCCAGCCTGGTGGTCTTCTAATCCACTCTGGTGGTCGTCTGTTCCGCCTGCTATGCCCTGGTGGGCTTCTGTCCCGTCTGCTTTGCCTTGGTGGGTTCCTGCTCCGTCTGCTCCGCTGTGGAGGTCTTCTGCTCTGCCCTGGTGGGCTTCTGTCCTGTCTGCTCCGCCCTGGTGGGTTCCTGATCCATCTGCTCTGCCATGGAGGTCTTCTGCTCCGCCCTGGTGGGCTTCTGTCCCATCTGCTCCGCTCTGGTGGACTTCTGTCCAGTCTGCTCCATCGTGGTGGTCTTCTGCTCTCTCTGCGCCGGCCTAGTGGTCGTCTGCTCCTCCGTGGTGGTCTTCTGCTCCATCTGCTCCGGCCTGGTGGTCTCCTGTCCTGCTTTGGTGGTCTTCTGCTCCGCCGTGGGGATCTTTGGACCCATCTGCTCAGCTGTGGTGGTCCTCAGCTTCACCTGCTCTGCCGGCTCCACCCTGGTTCTCTGCTCCGTCCTGGTTTCCTGGGTACCCTTCTGGAAGCCGCTCCTTGGGGGGGGCTATGTCACAAATCCAGTCTATGAACTTCCGTTCACTCACCACCAGAGGTCACGCGCTCACTACATTGACTCTCACACCACACAGACTGTTACATGTCACTCCGGACTACAGTTCCCATCATCCATTGCACTGATTACACACACACAGCTGAATGCACTGATAACACACACACAGCTGCATCCAATCAGACACGCTTTATAAGCCCTGGACGTCCTCATTCAGATCGCTGAGTATTGTATGCACATATCACTAGTCAGTGATAGCTACGTTACGGAGCCATTTCGTTAGCCATTGTTTATTTCCAAGTCCTAGTCCTAGTCTAGTTTTGCCTTGCCTGTTTTCTGGTCCTTTTGATTATTGCTCGTGTTTACAGATCACCCCTTTTGTTAAGCCCTCTGTTTTACATTCGCCGATAGATAACCCACGCTTTCCTTGGATTGCTCTTTGTCTTACCTGTATTATACCTGTTTGCCATTGTTTGACTCATGCCTGTTATGACCATGTCTCTTAAATAAAAGCATGCAGACGGATCCTCACGTCTCTGTCGCCCCGTAACAGAGACGTTGTCTTTGTGCTGACATTGCAAACGCTGAGGAAAAACATAGGTAGGGTTGTGGAGTTACTGATGCTATGAGGTGTAACTGCACCTGTCCCTCTTATCTTCTTTATTACTGCAGAATTCATAATTACACACAAGCTCAGGGAAAGATGATTGTATCTTTAACAAACAACACTCATAATAGAAACATAATTATAATGGGTTTGCGTGCATCATAGTATGAGAACATATACACAGGAAAAAAAGGCACCATTACAAGGGTAAATATCTTTGAATAATCATAATGTTTACATAATCATAATGCATCGGAAAAATTGCATTTGTTGTTGTTGCTATTTATAAGCCTGAGGGATGAAACAAAGAGTTAAACTCAAGAAAAAGTGGAGAACAAAGATTTAATGCATAAAAAGAAATCAACATATTCAAAAAAACAACAATTTGGGGTTTTCATAATAAAATATAATATCTTTAAGGATAAAACTGGGGGTCATATTAGTAGAACAAAAATGTAAAAACTCAAATCAACCCCAGATGTATTGGTTATACTACAATCACAATAAAAGGGCAGCTGTTTCTTCAACAAGACCACAACATGAGCAGATTTCATCAACATCAAAACATTTACAGATAGCTAGATGAATTAAATAAAGTTGTTTCGCTTGTTATTACGTCGTAGATCACATAACGTCAACATGGCGATGATGTCCGGATCGCATTCATACTCAACGAGATTTGGCTGTAGTGTACAACTCTTTTAACGCTCCTTAAGTAACTACTTGCTGTTTCGAACGCAATTGCTCCGCGAGGAGTGTGCAGGCTTCCAGAGGAATCCTGAGCGTCTATCCTGTAGCCTATACACTGTATCCTTTACGGAAGTGTTTTTCATAGAAAAACCTGACGCACGTACACATTTTCCTCCCCCTTCACATCTGTTGCAGTTTAAATAAACCACACGTCATGTATTTCAAACAGGGCATCTTGCTTTAATATTTATGATGAATGTCTTAAATAACTAACTTTATCAACATGGGGGCAGATCCCTTTAGCGCAGCTGATAATGCTTTGAAGTGATGCTAAAGGGAGCGAGGATATGTCATTTCACTTGATTCAATTCCTCCATCCTCGCGTCTTTTCCTTGCATCCTTCCCTCGCATCCTGAAGGGGTGGAGCTAAGACGCGAGGATGCACAAATAAGCATCGAGAAGCACCCAGTGTCGCCATAGAAACGCACAATCCTCTCGTAATTAGGCTTCCTTAATTATTATGACATGGCGTGAACGCAGCATTCAGCTCATCTAACTCCAATCAAACACACCTGAACAAGCTAATCAAGGTCTTCCAGATTACTAGAAAACTACAGACAGGTGAGTTTGATCGGGGTTGGAGTTGACCTGATCTCCTTGGATCTTTAAAACCCCATTTTACAGAGGTTTATGTTGCAGCAACACGGTTGTTCGTTTTAGTTTTGTGCGCTTCGCTGTCCGCTGCTCCCGACACATCAATTCAGTGCATTTTCCAGCAGAGATCATTGTGAGCTCACAGATCGAGAGGATGACAGCTCGAGTGTATTGCTCGTTGATTGCTGTTTTGTGTCTGTCTGGATACTTGAGCATTACAGATGCTACTCCAGGAAAAACCACAGGTGAGCATCTGTTAACTTCATTACACAGCCTGCAGAAATAAGTGACTCACAGTTTAGCCATGAGTAGTAGGTTTTAAAACCTTTGATTTAAGTGAATGAAGATGTTAAGCATTCTGTGATGCTTTTGGTTTGTGTCTGAATAACAGCAAAGCCTGGAGAGTGTCCACCCCAATCATCTGGAATAAAATTGTGTACCACGTCCTGTAACTGTGACTCTAACTGTCCCAACAATGAGAAGTGCTGCAGCAATGGATGTGGACGTTACTGTACGGTTCCATATGAAGGTATTTTGTTTAGATTATTATTAATAATAATAATAATTAAAACAATTGTTCTAGTCAAAAGTAGGTTTGAATAAAGTGCCAACCTCCTGGTCTCTCGCTTGAAACCAATATGGAAGTGATTTTAAAACTGCAGTTCATGGCTCCAAAAGGGAGTCAGTCCCATAGACCTGCCATGTTAAAATGCCCAACTTTACAGCCTGGTACAAAGTGTTTTTGGTCTATATAGCTAATTTTTGCCCTTCATGACAACTGTGAGGGGGGGGGGGGGGGAAATTT